GCTCATAACTAAACTGGCGTTTCGGATTTTAACCAGATTGACGCGGAGGAGAAGAGAGTTCACGAAAAAGGACCCATTTGGCCTCACCATCTAAAACACTTAACAACAACTTTCCTAGATTCGACTGGAATCTGCGAAGTGTCAGAGAATTTCTGATCTGAGAGGCAGAAGACGGTTAGTGGTGCTGGGCTTCGGTTCTAGTTTTCTTCTCCTTGTGCTCAACCACCCTGAGCTTTCAAGCAGAATAAAATTGAAGCTAATGGAGATATCAAACAGAGCCAGGATTCCGAAGGCTCTTTTTCCGCCGCAAGCACCCACCGTCCATCTGCAAGGGTAATCGCAGAGACTTGCGGTGTCTTCATCACTAGAGGCTCCGAAAAAAAAAGGGGGGGAGAAATTTCTCCGTCGTTAAAAGGAACCCTCTATTATCACTATTATTATTTGTGTATAGCACATAAGAATTCCCCCCCCCCCTTAAAATTCCCCCACAATATTGAAACAGCATTTGTTGTACGATTCACACAAACGCTTGAGGCCTTTCTGGAAAACCATTACCATTCAATGGCTAGAAAATTGCTCTCCTTCCTTAAAAAAAAAAAAAAAAAAAAGGCTAAGCAGCAGCTACGACCGACAACAAAAACTTTCTCCTGCATAATCCTCGCCCACGGAATGACAAAGAAATGATATTGACTTACCCCTGAACGGATGAAGTGTTTGATAAGGGGGGGACTTTTCTGAAGATTTCTTTTCGGGAGCCACACAGACAGCTGCAATTCATGGGCGACACTGATTGCCAGAAACGCTATGGATTGGCATGGGGTCTGCAGCTCACAGATCCTGATCAATACCCCTACACTCCCGCGCCAGATGGTTTGGGGAAGGACAAAAATAAAATAGTCCAAATCAACCCACCATTATGTCTTTTTGTATTGCTCTGATAAACCTAGTTGTAGCACAAATGTGTTCTCTCAACACAAAACCTTCCTCAGGATTTTGAACATTTGGGTAGAAATAAGCAGCCCCCCTCTTCTTGGGATTTGGGCTGTGGTTACTGTTGTTTAGTGGAAACAAAGCTGTTGGGCCCCTTATCCGACTGGGTTTACTTGTGGTCTATGTATTTTTTTTCGTGAATAATTTATAGGGTCTCTGTTTTAATTGAATGCTCACCTTTCTCTCCCTCTCAGAGCCTAAAAAAAATTTTTTTTGAATGTGAAAACACATATGAAAAGCTCTGGCAGTAAAAATCTCCAGTCTATTTCTACAATTCCTAACTCAAGTTTTTTTTTCTTTTATAATGCAGTAGCTTACATTTGTTGTCAAAGCTGCATTTTATTTACAGACTTCTTTTGACCCATTTAAGTGTCTGATTTTGAAGAAAATCAGACCTGCGGATGTGGTACGTTAAGAAATTGATATCCTGATCCTGATATAATGGCTGGTGCAACTGTTTGTCCAGATTCTAACAGTCGTGAACTAGCACGCCTGCTACCATATTTCTGTACAGTCTATTTGTGAATCAAATGCTGAGTTACACAACTTCTGAAGGTTAGAGTACGTGTGTAAACAAGGGGCAGTTAGAAAGCAGCTCTTCCTTTTATTTTCTTAAAGCAAGAAACATCAAAGATATTTTGAAACATATTTGAAAATCTTATTAATACTGATATTCTTAAAATTATCTTCTTCAAGCAGAAAATATTTTTTCCTTTTTAGAAAGAAAGGGAAAGGGCATGCAAGACTAATTTAGTAAAAATTAGGATGCTGACTAAAAATGCACATTAAGTTCTTTTTTAAATGGGTTTTAGGTTGACATACAAAACCTCAAACCATCATTAAGAAAAACAACATGAAAAATCTGCTTTAATCTAGCCCAATGAAATTATACACAAAGAAGCCAATATGATTTCATGATTTCCCTGAGATCGCCAATATTGATCGAGGGAAGGGGGAGGGATGGTGGGAGAGAGGGAGGGGGGAGAGAGGGAGGGAGCAAGGCAGCAAGAATATGCAACTCACCTTTCAACTCTCCAGCACGTGACTGCTCCAAGGCACACCAAAATGCAATTCCCAGGAGCAGATTTATCTTGGTAGCCTGGTAAACGAGTTTATCATTTTGAAAAATTATTTTAATGGCCATCTATATACTCGGGCTTCTGTATGGAGGCAGAGCCTACTCAGTGTCCCAGCCTGGGGTCCCTGGCCACTCTTTAAGTCTGAAGCCGAGGCAGGGAAGGCTGTGTTCAGCATTGGGGCATATCAGACTCTTTCCCCAGCCTTGCTGCTCTCTCGCCCTCTTTCAGCCTCTGAGCACTCCTAGACCAACAGGAGGCTTGTGCTCTTGTGAACTTTTGTTCAACTCGTAAGTTTTTCAAACATTAACTGTTTCAAATTATCCCAAGTATCCAGCTGCCATATATAAGGTGGGGAGTGAAAAGAGAGACAGTAGGAGAGAGTTGAGGGGGAGAGGAAAGACAGAGAAAATTCAGTTATTTTACCTAATTTTGTGACATTAAAAATGTGAGCAGCTAGAAAAGTATGCCTAGCAAAGTAGAGGAATGTCCACTTTCTTACCCAGGCTCTGATATCACAAAGAAGAATCTACTTGAAAGAATAATTGGCAAGGTATTGGCCAGAGCTCAATGAAGTTGATCTATGAATAACGTCACTGTACATTCATGTGACAGGATGGTGTGGGAGGGGGTGGATTTTTTTTTTTTTTTTTTTTTTGCTCTGTAGCTAGAAGGGAAAGGAGGGCAGCCGCAAAAGGTCACCAAGACTAAGAACTATTTTCCAAATGAATCAAACCTTTCTCTAGCACCAGGAAGGCAGATACAGTATTCCAGGCTGCGTGTCCTTGTTTTCTGATCAAGTTTTCCTTAACAGCTGGAAGTGGTTGGAGGGGGCTGTCTTAAGGAGACCCCCTGCTCTTCTTTTGACAGCTGATCAAAAGAAAATAGGTCACGCTTCTCAAACTTATGTCCACCCTGTCCTTAATTACTGTCTCTTTAAACAAAGGCAACATCTGCGCAACCTCAGCTAGCTTGAATCTTCGGAGGCAAACAGAGCGCAACCTGCTTTGGAAGAATCTGTTACTTTTAAGGGTTTCAATGCCGGGTAGCTCCCTGTCTTCAGCCACCCCTCCACCCCCACCCAGGCCTCTGAAATCTCCACCTCCTTTCTCCGCCGCTCCACCTCCAGTCCCCGACCTAGGGTTACCAAACAACGGAAATTCTGGGTAAACGAAGGTGCACTTTTCAAAGCTGCGGCTTGCGAGCGTTCTGAAACTCGCCAGGGTTCTGGTCTTTTCAGAAACAAGTTTTGGATATACAGATGTCGGCCGAGGGTCCGTGTCATCTACCCACAGCCGCAACCTGGGGCGTTCCTTTCTCGGGACTCGAGTGTGTGTGTGTGTGTGTGTGTGTGTACGCACGCGCGCGCGCGGTAGAAGAGAAATCCGCGGGTGTCGTCCCGGACGGTTTACGTACTCGCTGCTCCCAAGAGAAGTTTGCTCACTATAGGCTTTGGCAACAATCTTGCCGCCCCCTACCCACCACCCTTCCTTACAAGTCGCTAGCGGGGGGAGCATTTGGTCACCTTGAAACCGCAGCTCCTAGAGTTCTAGTTTTGTTTTGCAGTCTAACAGGGCCCTTCTGAAGCCTCATAACTGGGAGATTTATGGGCTCGCCGGGTAATTAAATGATGTTATTGTGTTAACTTTGCTTGGATTACGGTGGCCCGCGCCGCCTGTGGGGTTGCGTCGCCGGCCGCAGCTCCAAGGCAGCGAGGGTCCTAGGATTCCTTTCGCCTGGTAGATTATGCATGCCTCGGTCTCGGGAATTTACCCTGCATTAGAATACATAAGCGCCTGCATTTTAAAAGGGTAAACTACTGGCTCTCATATAGAGACGCTTGGGAAGTGGCTTGCTAGGAGACTTGGGTTTGTTTTTTCACAGTACAGACTGGCTTGCTAGCCTCCAGAAAAGCTGTGAGGTGAGGCAAAGGGAACTAAAGCAATGCCCTTTTCTACAGATCGCAGCTGCTCAAGAGGGACACAGAGCGGCATCTTTAACATAATTTCTCTCCCTCGCTCGCACTCTCGCCTCTCTCTCCCCACTACCCCCTCTTCCCCTCCCTCCCTCTCCTTGACGTTTGAGTCTAGTGGCAAAGGAGGAAAAAAAGACACAGAGCCGTCAGCCAAACCTGAAACGCATGGCCCCGCCCCCTCATCATCCATTGGCAGTCGCACTCAGGAGGCCCGCCCCCCAGGGCAGCGGCGCTCTCGGAGTGGCTGTTTGCGGCGCCCATCGGGCGCTGCCCCGCCCCGGGTCCGGGAGGCTAGGTTGGCTGCCCCGGCGAGCGGCAGAGCCCTTCTGGACAGCTCCCGCTCACCCAAACAGAAGACGTCGGCGCCGGAGCGGGCTCGGACATGGCGAGGCAGCGCGCCGGCCCGAGCGGTGGGGCCCGGTGATCCCTCCCTCCCTCCCCGCCCCCTCCCCTCTCCCGCTCGCACGCC